GTCATGATCATGATTCCAGGTACATTTCAGCCTTTTGAGTACAAAAATATGTTTAAGCAGTACAGCCCATATAAGAATGCAGTTAGTTGAAAGTACAGGTAAGTTACAATAATATATTTTATTATATTGCGTGTGCTGGCACGAGAGACAGCGCATTGATCACTCGCAATACACTGCAGAGATATTCAATATGACGTACACTTAAGACCTAGCACAGAGAAAAAAAACCATAACGTCACACACAATACCTAGCACAGAGAAAAACATGACGCCACATACAAGGCACAACAGAGATACAATATTATGGCGTTCTAAAAAAAAGGACGCGTAGGTTTAAAAAAAAGTGTAAAAAAAACAACAACAACCCCGAACCAAAAAAGAACCACAAACGAATAAGAAAAGAAGTGTTTCCAGATTTCAAGTCACACATTAGGGAAATTGTATAAGCAGTAAGATTGTATATAAAATACTATGATTTTGTACTTGTTAGCTTTAATCTTCCAAATCAGTTAAACGCTGCATTGCCTTAGAATTACAAAGTTCTAGCTGCTCAGTACTTTAAGAAATGTGACGTAACAAATTTGAGTTTCACAACATGTCAAGCTTTTACGAATGGAATTCTTTGAAAACGACTCTGAACAATCTTATAATTTTGATAAAGCAGACAGAACCTTTGGTTTCAGACCTTATGGTCTTGGTAACTTAAAACGGTTAGAAATGTCAGATAGAGCTTTGTACTTCTAAGGTATCGACTGGGTTGGGATAAAATATGATTCATTAAATGAACATTATTACGATTGGACAAAATAACATTGATGACTACAAGAAATCTGAGAACACAAAATTCAGAATATTATTACACCGACAAAGTAAAACCGTGAAGACTTGAAGTAGGAAATGACATAACAAGAGAACAGTATTACGAGGGATACATCGAGTACCCCATGGTGGAATATTTGGGCTGTTAGTACAAAAGGGGATTTCTGCCCCCCTCCCCCCTAATTCATCATCAACTGTTATTATAAACACTTTCGAAGCAAATGATCAACACCCTAATCGACTAATTGACAGGGTATTACTTCTTCACACTTATACAATCGACGCACCTAGCTTTACAGAACCAGATGTGCAGGCATCTTGCCTCATTTAAGAGTGAAATTGTTATTATAAACACTATCAAAGCAAATAATCAACATCCTCATGGACAGGAGGGTATTGCTCCTTCGCCCTTCGTTGGACAACGCACCTAGCTTTCCATGTATCTTGCCTCATATTAGTGAGTGCCTTTAGGTGAAAGTAGAAAGTATACCTTACTTGTCAGCTAATTTAACTTTAGAGAGAGACGATACTGATACAATCAAATGTTTAAAACGTATAGCTGAAATACTGTTATAAATAATTGTACTAAAACAGTTTAACTAAGGTATTCTGATGGACACTTCGGCTCTTCAATTTATTTTTGAGTACCCCCATTTCAGCTCATTTTGCAGGACCTGACCGAGTTAAATGTATTCAGGACATACTATTTTCCCGTCAACTGAATATGACCCCCCCTCCCCATACCGAATGGATATTCTAGCACCAAGTCCATCGCCCGAGCGCGAATCGAGGGCTGTGTCTCCCCTTAACCGCTGAAATACAGATACGGGGCTCTGAGGGAGAGTACAGCGAACCGGCTCTAATGGTCGCTATAATTACACCGTTTACGACGACCATCAGTCTAAAACTGCAACTTCCCATTTCCTTCCTTGTGTATTTGATTTTTTTGTTAGAGATTCTGATTATACTGGGTGAGACTGTCACCTGTTTAAGACGGTCTACATGACAATGTATGGCCGTCTAGGACAGGCTTGCCCATTGCAATCTTTTCTCACAGAAGTGCTCAAATTGGACCAGCCCAAATATTCCACCTATAGGCTGACAGTTATAGTAGTGAACCAACAGACGTGTAATAAGTGTTACGAATTCTAGTCATTTATAAGCTTTACCTTCAGAAGACGCTAAAAAACGTGTTGTAAAGGGAAAAAGACATAGAAAAAAGTTTTGAAGATATATCCACAAAAATCTAATGCACAATAAGCAAAAATTTCTGAGTTAAAAAATTAAAGAAACCTAGGTAAGAAACGTGTTATTACATATTATACAAAAACAGTGATTAGATGACTTTAAATGTCTAACATCATATCTAAGAAAAAAGAAAAAAAAGATGAGGCTAACTTCAAAGTGAGTAAAAAAAAATAAATCCATTGTGAACGAAATACGAAATAAAACTGTACTTACAAAATTAAGGTGCCAAGTATTAAACACTATGTCTCATAGCTTCAATCAGTGTGTACTATGTAGTCTTACAGACCGCGTGCAAATTTGACGAACCGACATAAATATTTAAGCTAGAAATAAGCGGCATGCATGTGCTTGAAGTGGAAAAAAAGTTAACGTTATGACAATGTAATGCAAAGTAATCTGCATTAAAAAGTAACTTTCTAAAATAAATAGATGACAATAAAAACAGCACCCCTAAAAAAAATAATAAAGCCAAAACAAAACAAAACAACAACCTCACCAACAATCAAACAATAAGAAAACCCCCACAATAATGACAGGTGCGAAGGTGGCTGCAGCGATCATTGTGGTGATCATGATATTGGGGTAGATGTTGCTGCAAATGATAGTGGTGGTGGTGGGGGGCTGTCCAGTTTGTCACAGGCCCAGTTTGTCAAAATTTCATTTAAGCACGGTATTTGAGTATTGACGACAGTCATAATTAAAGCCATTTAACAATGTAGTTATAACTTAAGTTTTTTTTATTCTCCACCTTCAAATTGGTGGTGAAGAGATAGTCCCTCTAAATGTCAATTCAGCTTGTGTTCAATATTTCTTCCTTTTAGTATGCAAATCAAAACACATTATTCTGTGAAATTTCAACAACGAATGTTCTTTAGTTAAAAACAATTGAAAAGTAAAATTCAATTCATACAATCAATCAATCATTTATTTACTATTTTTGAGAGTGTCAGTGATAACTTCTATCATGCAGGAAACAGTCGAGGTCTGTTGCAAACTGGGCCTGTGCTTAACTGATATGCTTCCTTGGTGGTGGTGGCGACGGTGAAGATGATGATGATGATGATGATGATGATGATGATGATGATGATGATGATGATGA